CACAAATCTCTGCACCAGCTCAGCCCCACAGCGTTCCCCTGTTGGCACTGGGCAGGGCTGGGTGAAACTCGGAGTATTTAGTGGGGTTTGACTGATTCAAGGACCTCAGGGGAAATGTGGAAAAATCTCAGTGAAATGCAGTTCTAAATCCCTCCGCAGTGAGACAAAGCAGGAGAGTCTGTGGAGAGCACGAGAGAGGTGTGATAATGTCTGAGGGGGGGCTGGTTGTGTTCTTAAGGTGTTTCCTGGTCCTGAGTTACCTGTTTATTGCTGGCAGGTCGCTGCAATGAGCGTTCTATCCCCCCGAAGCTGACTGTGTTGATGAGGGTGTTGACAGTGATGGAAAATAGGAGTGGGATGGGCTGTTAAGCTTGGCTCCACTTCCCTCCTTTGTGCACTAAAACGTGTGTGTGTTTTGGCAATTGGCTTCAGCCAGGGTTTATTCAGGGCGATTGATCTCTGCAGTAACAAGGCAGTGGATAAAACAAACACCTCCTGACACTTCCCCCTGTCCCAGCCACAGCTGGAATTCAGAGGGGGGGCTGGTGCAGTGCCTAAATTCACTTTATGCTCCTCTGCCTGAGTGGTCTCTGCTCCTTCCAGCTGCAGCTGCCCTTGTGCTCTCGTGTCAGGGAGGGCACGTTGACAGCATCACTCCTGCCCTGGGATCTTAACTTCCCTGGTGGAGTTTGTGTGCATGTGAAGATCAAGAAACCCCTCCTGGAGCTCTCCCAGCTCTCCTGCTCCACGACTGTTTGGTCGGTTGCCTGCAGGAATTACAGTGACAACAGCAGCAGTGCCCTCCTGTGCAAGTACCTTCCTGGGTTCATTTATCAGCTGGTAAAATTCCCTCTTACAGCTGCAAGTCAGACGGGTGTGGAGCTGCCAATGATTCTCCTTGGCCTCTGTTCTCCCTGCACGGGCTCAGACACCAACATTGGATGGGAATGCTGCTGTTTCAGCAGCTGGAGTTGCACAGAACTGCACCTGGCTGGGCTGCTCATCATCCCTGGGCACGGGTGGAGGGTGGCATTGCCCCTCATTCCTTAATGCCAAAAAAACAAACAAACCACCTTGAACTCCCTGTATTTGAAAAGGAAATCTGTTTTTCATAGGTTAGGGCCATAAAGCCCCGTTACCTCTCAGGGATGTCAGTCTGAGTAAACATTTGATTACCTAAAATTTCAGGTTTCAGTGTGTTCACAGGGCCTTTTGGAGAGGTTTAGCCCCCCAGAAACATCTGAGGAAGTTCAGACAGGGAGGAATCTGCTGGAGGCTGGTCCACCTGTATCCCTTCCTAAAGTGCTGCTTCTAACAGGCATTTGGTGTTTGCACAATACATCAGAAACAGAGTTCTCTCCAGTGAAACGAAGAGGGATCCTTAATCACAGGCAGGAATTGCTAAGTCCAGTGGTCCAGCTGCCCCTGTAGTCCCAACACTCCTGTCTGCTGAACAAGCCCCTGCTCAAAAAGTCAATACTCAAAAACTCCTGCTCAGTAACTCAAAAAATGAGTTCTTTTCAGGCCAGAAGGACCCCACCGAAGCATTTTACTGTTGGCTGTAAAAGTTAAGTGATGTTAAGTACAGCAGGCTGTAAAAATCAGGACATTATTTCCTAATATGTTTCTCAGTTACAAAATCCAGAGCCTGGCTTGTTTAGATAGCAGGAGAACTGGGCTCTGGGAAAGCTGCAGGATGCTGAAATACAGGTGGTGTTTAACTGGGGTGTGAAACGTGACTTTCACCGGGCTGGCAGCATTCCCAGCAGCTCTCTGGAAGCACAGCCTTTCTCCTGGAGCCCTGGGCATGGTGGTGCTGCTCACACTGGGGTGTGTCCTCCTTCCCGACCTGTTCCTGGCTGGGGTTGGAGCTCATGGACAGAGGTGACACATCCCTGGGGCTCAGACTCCAGGCAGTGGGACACATCCCACTGCTGCTCCCCACAGCTTCCCCCTGACCTGCTGGGGCAGGTGGAGCTGCAGGGGAGAAGGGAGATCTGGGGTTCCCCCTGGCTGGCCCAGCTGGAGCAGAACATTCTTGCACTGGATGTGGCAGCAAAAGCTCTTTCAAGTCCCTGGGGGCTGCCCAGCAGTGCTGGAACCTCCATCAGCTGTTGGCTGAAAGGGACAGAGCATTCAGAGAATAATCCTGCCCAGATCCTGAAATAGAGCAGAGCTGACCTGTAAAAAATCCTGGCCACTCATCTGTTATCTTAAATTTGCTGTCTTTTCCTCCTGCAGGTCTCTGACCGGCCGAGGTGCTGTGGAATTAGATCCATTTTACATAACATAAATATTTAACAGCTCTGGAGCATGTAGTTTAATATTAAACAGACAGGCTTATAAATACTTCAGAATTATAGGTGCTGTCACACTACATGGAAATGGTTTGATAGGATCTAGGAGAAATATTTAGGTTTGACAGGAGAGGAAGTGATGAGGGTTAGAGGGAATCAGCCACATTTTTAACTGCTGGAGGAGCCCATAAAAAAAACAACACCAAGAAAAGTTGTGCAGCTTCTGTTCTTGAAAGGCAATTGGGGTGAGTTTCCTCCCCCTCAGGAAACAACAGACTGGTTCCCACCCTGCTCTCTTCAAGGAATGAAAACATTCACAATCTTAAGAAAACACTGCAGAGAAAACAGAACAATTCAGTAGCCAATGCTCTGAGATCTCACTGGTTGGAAGCGGGTCCATTCAGTGGGGGATTATCTTTATTAGAAAGACAAGTGGGACTTAATCAGGGATTTAGATGCTCTTGAGCCTTGTTAGTTTAAGCCCATGTACTACATTTTGCCACCTAAGAGAGTTTAAAGTTTATTATTGGTGGGTTTGCTTTAAGAAAATAAACAAAATCCCCACCTGCCCCGCTGGGTCCGGCTGTGCCTGAGCCTGGAGCAGCTCGGCCTTCACAGGGGAGGGGGACAGCTCTGACCAAAACCTGGGGACTGTTTCAGTTCTCCCTTCTGCCCACCAGCTTCCTGTGTGATCCCTGAAAGTCATTTCTCTCCCCAGCAGGTTCTCCAGGCACGTGGGGTCCAATTTCCCGTGAAATCTTCCAAATGCATTTCAGGATTAGCCCCTCCAGGCCTCTGTTCCCATCTGTGAGACAGAGATAAAGCAGAACTCGAGAGAAATGTGTTAAAATAAAAGGGAGGTACATTTTATCCCATAGGAGGCTGAACTATAAGTAATAAAAGCAGGGAAGTTGTGTGTATTTCTGGTTCACCCATCAGCAGTGCAGGTGGGTTCTCTGTGCCAAAATCATGGCAAAACTAACTTTTTCTGTGTATATTCTGTATCCTGTAAAAATGTGGAATGACATGCTAAGGGACATGACTTCCAAACATTCTGGAACATTTAAACCTCTGGAGTTTTAGTATTCTGTGACAGTTTCATGACACACCATAACTTACTTCCTACCTCTGAAGTTGGCTGTAGCATTCCCAGGTAATGTGTTTTGTCTCTGATGAATTCTGCTACCAAAGCACAGCTACAATGTTCAATGCAATGTGATTTCCAGTGCAGTGGGGGTTACCAGAAATGGTGATTGTACAAAGGAACTTGAGTCAGCTCTTCCATCAGAAATATTTCAGTTTATGGCCTGGAAAGGCAGAGAAGGCACAGAGGCTTCTATGCACCTTGGAGACAAATTTCCTGTGGGGTTGGTGTGGAGTTGGGAGCTGTGGGCTGAGCTGGGCCAATCCCTGATGCAGAGATTTCTTGGAAGGTGTGCCCTGAGCACTGGTTAATTTTTATCCTGGAGCATATGCCTGAATCCAGCATCAGACCTTTTCAGCCAAAAAACAGTGTCCAGGGTCAGTACAAAGTGTGGTGAAGAGTCCCAGGTGAGTTTTAGTGAACCAGCCTTTCCAAAGAAGGCTGATGTTTGCTGAGTTCCCACCTGGCAGGGCCTTGGGCAGTGATGGTCTCTGTGATGTTCCCTGTCCACCCAAGTGTTTCACTGATTGAGAGAGAAGCTGCTTTTGCACGTGACAGCAAAGCTCTAACACACTGCTGGCTCAGTTTGGTTCCTATCTCAACTTGGCAGAGCCCAATGTCAGGAGAAGACCCTCCCTTTGTGCCTCAGATTTATGCTCCTTTTGCCCAAGGAGAGCCTTTGGGTCAAGCCCTTGGACAGTCAAAGGCGAGGCAGGTCCATGAGCAAGGTGGGGTTTTCCAGAGCTGTTGTAAGGATCCAGGTGTTCCCACTGAGGTCAGTGAGCAGGTCCCAAAGGCCTCGGAGTCCGAGGGTGACGTGTCTGTGTCACAGCCCCAGCAGGGCCCTCTGTGTTCACCAAAGGGCTCCTGTCCCTGAGTTACCACCCGGGGAGGGACGAGCAGTGTGGGGAGGGGAGGTGTTTGCTGCAGAGGAAGGCTGGACTTTCCAGGGCCTGTACTGCAAGGAGAAGGAGCAGGTCCAAGGGATGGACTTTGCAGGACTATTGCTGCTGTGCCTGGGTCCCACAGAGCAGACAGGAGCTGTCCCCTCACAGCAGGAGCTGTCCCTGGGGTGACACTGCAGTCCCCGCCGGGCGCCGTCCGTCACCCGGGAGCTGGTGTCCAGAGCAGGAGCAGGTCCTCAGGAGCTAAAAACTGAGAGACAGCTCCTTTTCTCCTAATTTAATTTAATTTTTATCAGTGGTGACTGTTTACATTTGTGCTGTCAGGCTGAAGGACAGCACCAGCCACTGCACAAACACTCTTGTTCTGGCTCGGGGAAACAGTCGCTACATTTGGATGCCTTTGGGACCTTCCCAAATCCTTGTCAATTTGTGTCAGCAGTGTCAACTTGGCATGTTCCAGCCACTGCCAGGACTGCTGTCAGACAGCCCTGTGTGACAGGGTTTCAGCTTTATACCATTGTGCAGGACAGTTGTTCATGTCCCACTCCTTTAGACACTGTTAAGCAACTGAAACCTGGATCCCCCAGGTTACTGGGCACCTGTTTCTTTGCTGATTGCAGCTCTCACATGACACCTTTGTTTTCCCTTCACCAGGGTGAACCAACTTGTGATGCCACCAGCCTCTGTGAAAGTCTGAGACGGTGAGTGACCCAAACCAGCCATAGGTTTCAAGCTGCCCCTGTGCCCCAAAGCCCCTGCCCACCCATTCCTTTCCTCATTATTGGAGAGAAGTTTCCTTAGCCAGCCCTGGTCTGCACCTTTGCTCCCTTCAAACCAGAGGAAATCAAGAATGGGGAACCCAGGGGTCACCTCAAATGTCCTTTGTGGTGTCAAGCTGCTTCCAGAACCTGGTGCTCCCTTCTTTGAGCAGGTGAGACCAGGTAACCTCTGTCCCCCTGACCAGCAGCAGGTGTGACTGTCCCAGCCAGAACTGAGAACATCCCTGGTGTTCACAAACCTCCTGCTGCCCTGCTCTGGGTCCAGCACCAGCTGCCCTCAAACCACCATTCTTAACTTCTCCCAAACCTTTGTTTTGTGGCAGCACCTGATCTTTCATGTTGTTGCTGGACTGTCCCCACTGCCACCCTCGATCCAGGGTGACAACTCTGAGCCAGAGGGACCATCCCCTTCCTGCTGCCCTCCCTTCTCCCTCATGTCCATGTTGTCCTTATCACTCCCCCACAGCCACAGTCACAAACACTTCCCAGCACTTCACTGGAGCCAGAATTAATCAAAGCAACTTTTTGAAGAGGAGATTTCTTTCCCCATAAATTAAATGCACTGAAAGAGTAATCAGAAGATCAGAACTCAGTAAGACACTTAAGAATGGCCTTTTGAGGGAAAAGATTTCAGACAATCTCTAGCACAGCAGATGTGTTATTTCCACAGAGGGGAGTGGATTCTGGGATAGGGCTGCCAGGAGCTTGCAGGCTCTGGGCTGGATGTGTGCTCACACATTATTATTTATCAGTAGCTCTGAGATAAAAGTTTGGGGGTTGTTTTTTTGTTTGTTTGTTGTTTTTCTTTTTAAAAAAACCCTCAACAAATCTGAGAGGAAATCCAAGATGGTGTTGCTGAGACTTGCCTTATAAAAATGACCACTTGGGTCCTGGGCACAGCAAGGTTTTTCACTGCACTTTCTTCTTTTTTGGTCTAGTTTTGTGCAGGTTGAGATAAACCAGGCCACTGTAATAGGGAATTGTTCTGTAACTGAGCAGTCACTGATTTTTAAGGTCAGGGGCAATTTCTTGCATAACATGGATCACAGACCCTCTGACAGGAAATCCTGTAGTGAGAGAACTGGTTATCCCTGCCCTGTTACCTTGGAAAGCTGCTGGATAGGCCCCAGAGTGCACGAGTGGCTCCTCAAAGCCAGCCTGGGCCACCAGCAGTGCCTGCTCTGCCCTGGCAGCAGCCAGAGCTGGGCTGTGCTGCTGGGCCCTCCAAGGGACAGCAGGTTGGAAAATGACAATTTAAGGCACGAGGCAGTGCCTCTTTTCTTTAATAAACTGAGGGGGTTAAAAACAGCCTAACAAAAATATCCCTGTAATCTGCTGAGCTGCTTCATCAGGAACAGTTGTACTTCCACACCTGGCAAACAGCACATGGTTGATGCCCCAAAATACTGCAGACAGGAGCTACACCTGCTGCTTGTCACCTCCTGGAGGAGGCTGTGCCTGGATCACAGGGCATTCGTTTCCCATTCCAAACAGCTACAGCACATCCCAAAGTGCTGCCTCCACCCTGGGCAGGCTTTGCTGGCCCCCCTTGCACAGAGACAAAGGGTCTCTGAGCTGGCCCTGCCCCAAAGCTGGGATACACCTTAACCAATCCATCCCTGTGACCTCCCCATTAACCCCCTTCCCTTCCCCGTTCCCAGGTGCCTCCGAAGGAAAGGACACGTGGACTCTGCTCCCACCACACCAATCTCAAGCTCGAAGCCCTTCCGTGCTGGATACCAGTGGATCCTCCAGCTCCACACCACCCCGAGGGGTTCTCCAGCACCAAATCCATCCCCCCACTCCAGCCTGCGGGGTCAGGCACCAGGAGATGGAGCAGGGCAGGCAGGGACACGGGACCTGCTGCAGCACGAGGACAGCTGTTCCTCTGAGCATCAGCAACTGGCCCCCGGACCCAAAACGTGCTGCCCACGTGAGTGACTGTAGATTGTGTACATGGTTCTAGTTGTAGCCAATGAAGTCCACATGGTTTGTAGGACTGGTGTCCTCTGGAATGCTGCTGCTCTGCCAGCACTCCCACACCCACCGACTGCACTAGCTGGGGACCCGCTCTGTACATCACCTTTGCTTTGACACTGAAGGCTCAACTCAGATTATTATTTTTTATTTAAATATGTCATAAGATGCTTTATCTCTGCTGAAGACATTAGATGAGATATATATATATATATTTAGATAGACAGTTTTTATTTAAACGTTTAAAACCTGGAGCTGCCTGTGCAACCACAGCAGACATGAGTAACGTCCACAGCTCTCCCTGGCTCAGTGCCCTGCAAGAGTTCCAGTGGGTGACCTCCCTGTCACCTGAGGCTGAGCAATGGGCAGAGGAGAGAGAGTCTCACTGCACTGGGAATGCTGGTGGTTGTCACAGAAAGGCCCAGTACGTTGGACAGAAATCCCTACGGGCTCTGGAGTTTTCAAATTCAGCCTCGCCTGGGAGGTTCACAGGCTTTTAAAATACCAAAATCCACCTGGCTGAATCGCTGAACCTCGGGCCTGGGAGTGCAATACTGCTGTGCCAGTGACCTCGTGCTTTGTTTACATGCTGCCATATCACACGGACTGCCGATGCTAATTCTCCCTGTCAGTGTTCCAAAGCAGTGGCTGATACTCTGTTTCCTGGGAGCAGTGTTTGGGCTCCTGCACACCCAACCCTGCCCAGTCCAAGTGCTCTCCCTGGGGTGTCACCTGTACCTTCACAAAGGTGCGTTTGAGACCTCTCAGACAAAGCCAGTGTCTGAACTGGGCGAGTCTCAAGTGCAGGGACGTGTCATGGGGCCACTTCACTGGGGTTTTGTTTCCTTGTTCCCTGCAGGAAGCCAAAGTGATGCCGTGCCAGGTGGGTGCTGCAGCAGTGTGGGGGAGGAAGGAGAGCACAGAGAGCACAGGCCCTGCCCAGCCAGGCTGCCTCACACGGGGCTCTGTGAGCTCCCCACCCCTGTCCCTGCTCCCCCCGTCCCGCAGGTCAGATCCCCCTCCAGCTCACACCTTGAGCAGGGAAGGCCCCTCCTGTGCTTGTGGCTCACCAGGGGCTGCAGTTGGGCTCCAAGCAGGACTAAATCAGCTCAGGAAATGCAGGCTGGGACTGGATGCAGGTTAAGGCTGGAAGCTGCTGTCCTGGCTGTGCCACAAGGCTGCCCAGAGACACAGGAAGGTCCTGTTGGTAAATCTGGGTTTACCTCCCATCCCTTCCAGGATGTGCTGGGACCTACAGCACAGCCTTGCAGTGGGGATGGTTGTGATTCTCACCCCACAGCCAGTCCCTGCCCAGGCAGGTTCCAAAGGTGGCTCCTGTCACCCCGTGAGCCTTCCCCCTCCTCAGACCCCACAGGACTCCTCTGCAAAGGCTCTGTCACCTAAAATACCTTAACAACAGCTCTAAGATTTAGCTGAAGAACCAGAAGTGTTCCTCGAGTGCCTGGGCATCCTCTGGAGAACAGCAAGTGGGTGCTAGAAATAACAAAGCAAAGCAAATCCCAAACAATGCTTCACTTCCCACCTCGTGCCACTGTTTACATTGGTAGGGGAAACTCGGCCTCTGCAGTGTGGGAGCCAAACTCTTGGCTTTAAAGGCACATGAATTTCTGATTCCTGTTAAGAAATTCCTTGTTAAGCTGTTTAAAAAGAAACAAAAAGCAACCCAACAATCAGTCATTTCATCTCAGAGACCAAAGAAGATTAACCACATTTCCGAAATTGCTTTTCCAATAGGCTCCCTCTGTTGTAGCATTTACTGTCAACAAAATGAAACATTCCTGCTAAGGTTCAGAGGTTAGGAATTCTCCTTAAAATTAATTCTCTGGAGTCAGCCATGACAAGGGAGCTGAAGTGGTTTGTAGTGCCCTTGTCTGTGACAGGCCCTGGTCCCTGTCAGAGCTCGGTGCTGTCAGGGGCTGGTTTTATCTTCTGAAGGAAATGCTGTGGGCTCTGTTGAACAAGAGGGAAGGGAGCAAGCAAGGGAGTGAGAAATGAGTCTTACCTGCACCAAGAGATCCCTGAATCCCTGCTCCCACATGTTCCAGGCTAGGAGAGGGAGGCTCAGGCTCCTCCCAGTTCCCCTCGGTCTGTGGGACCTACAGTGTCAGGTTCACTCACCAGGGTCTGTGCAGTGCCCAGAGGGCACCAGGGAGGTTCCAGGCTGCCCTCAGTGACCCACGAGAGGGTTTTCTTCTCCTCCACTCCGTAAAGGGGATTTTCTAAAGCATTAACTGCCCCTTCCCAGCTGATCCTGCACTGGCACCGCTGCCCAAGCAATGGTTTGTACACAGGGAGGGGAACTGAGGCAGCGGGAACTGCCCAGAGAGGCAAGAAAATAACCCAAAAGGCAGCAAAGTGCCAACCCAAGTGGCTCCAGCTCCCAGGGCAGGTCTGGGTGGCCCCAGGAGCCTCTCCCCTTTCAGGCTGGCCAAGGGAGACCCTCAGGGTGAGCCTAAACCCCCCAAAAGACTGGCTGTGCTCTGGGAAGCAGAGTTCTCTCAGCACCCTCCGTCCCAGCTGCTTGTTTTCTTCCCCATTTGCTTTATTGTTTGGTAAACCAGCACTTACAATCACTTTTACTATGTGATGTATGGGAGTATTAGTATATTTTTCTTGTTATACAAGGGAGGAGTATAAAATAGTTTTCTGATTTCTTTCAGAAGCAAATGACTATTTTATTTTTTAAGAGCAATTGATTGTGAATCTCAGAGTATAAAAAAAAAAGATAAATAAGCCAAATATATACCTTTATGTAAATTAAGAAATAAAAGTATTTAAAATGTACCTCCTGGCTCCTTTTCTTGTGTCACCTCTTGGTTGTGGTTGCTGGGCTGATCCCTGGGACAAGGCTGCTCCACACAGCACCCCCTCCAGTGTCCTTTTCCTTCAGCACAGGGCAAGTGTTCAGGCCAGGACACCCCTAAAGCAAAGGACCTGTGGCTGAAACCACCACCCCTTCTGGCAGCACCATCTCAGGGCTTTCAGCTCAATCATTCTGTGTCAGTGACTTGATTAGGCATAATTTTATAAATTGTGATGTTCCAGCAGATGGGCTCTGAGGCTCAGCAGCTTTAGCTGGGTTTGGGTCGTGGACATACCCGTGTGTGCACCCACACCCCCTCCCCTTCATGAACCCTGGCTCTGTAGAGCCACCAAGGCCACCCACCCTCTGACAAACAACAGCCTCGTGAGCTGGCACAGGGGGAGCACCCTGACCCTCTCCAGCACCTGCTGTGCAGCACCTCATGGAGCCCAAGCTGGCACTGTTGTGTCCTGCTGTCCCTAGTGCCTTTACCACGGTTGTAACAGAGGGGCTGACTGCATGGCAACCTCTCCTGAGCAACTCCAGCACTGCACCCATCTCCCAGTGTCCCTGGCAAAATCTCTGTATGACACATAGGACAGTACTTAAAAAATCACAGACTCACAGAATGGGTTGGAGGGACCTTAAAGCTCATCCCATTCCACCCCTGCCATGGACAGAGACACCTTCCTCTAGCCCAGGTTGCTCCAAACTCTGTCCAGCCTGGCCTTGGACACTTCCAGGGATGGGGCAGCCACAGCTTCTCTGGGCAGCCTGTGCCAGGGCCTCACCACCCTCTCAGGACTCCACATCCCTCCCTGGACCTCACTGCCCAGGGCCTGTGGCTGTTTTCTTGCATCCAGAAGAACCCTCGAGCTCTTCTCACTGCCAAAGAGCTCTGGGCAGCTGAAAAGAAAAGGCTTCATTAAAATCAAAGCATGCCCTGTCCCCTGAAGTCCTGAAGGTCGAGAGACAGACAGGACATGAAATCAAGTAAAATGAAACCTTTGTGATTGTTAAAAGGCACAAATAAGTGCTGCTGCAACAGGATTTGACTTAGTGGATTAGTGACTGCTTTCTCTAAGCTGTGCATCAAAGCCAGCCTACAGCCAGGTAATTTAATTGGCAAGAGAGTTGTTAGTGAAGCAGGACTCTCACCGTGCCCCGCAGCTCTCCTGTCCCCTCTCCCCTTGCCTGTTCCACAGGCACTGGAGACTGAGCACCCCATGGCCACGGCGAGGCAGAGGTCACTCACCTCTCCAGCTCAGCCACTGACATCTGGCACTGCCCAGCTGCCACCCCTCTGTCACAAACAACAGCTGGCACTGCTTTAACCTTGTGCTTTGCCCTTCCCAGAACGAGTGATGAGCTGATCCACATGAACTCTTCACCACAGTGACCCTGGCAGGTATCCCAGAGCAGCTCAGCCCAGCTCCATGGCCTCAGCTCACTCATGTGGGCAAGGACCTGCCCAGAGCAGTGGCCACAGCAGGAGTGTGGTGGCTCTGGGTGCCACACACGTGCTCTCTGGAAGCAGGTGAAGGTCCCCTCCCTGAGCTGCCTGGAGAGAGCCCTCTCATCCAGCTCCCTCCCCTGCTTCCCACCCCCACCCCTGCCTGCTGTTCCTCCTCTAGTTCTGCACAGCAGTGGCACAAAGTCCCGGGATGTCCTACTTAGAGGCACAGAGAAGGAAAGGGATCATCAGTGAGAGTGTTCAGATCTGAGCCCCTGCTCCCCTCTGGATCACTGAACACAGGCAGCCCTGACCTGCAGCCTCCTGTGCACTGCATTTGCACACACAAAGGCATCACTCTGGGGACAGCTGGAGGGGCTGAGCCAGGACTGAGGTTTTAACCAGGCAATGAACCAGCTTTCAACAGTAAATAGCAGAGGCAGGGCAGCATCCCCAGTGCCCACAGGCCCCTTTGGAGCAGAGGGTCTTTTTCCTGGAGACAGGATTGGCAATAATTGCCAACACCTGCCTGGGAACAAAGACCTGTAGCTCTTCTGCAGGCTGCAACAGCAGCTCTCGCAGTCGAGATCCTTCAGCCACTCCAGAGGAATAAGTGGTATGGGAAAAAAGGTTCAGCAGGACGAGTCCAGTCCTAAACTGCTCTATTGGAGCACCACAGAGATGCAGGGACCAGCCACCTCCCTGAGGGTCTGGTCTGCACTGCCCTGGTCACACCCCAGCAGCCCAAGTCTCCATCCTGTTTGGGGACCTCTGTGAACCCTCCTGAGGTTGGAGGCCAACAGTGAGCAGGGTGAGGCTGCCCTTCACCTCCTGCCCCAATCTGTGCCACTACCTGAAGACTGCTTGACTTGCAGGGTCCAGAGCCTGCCAATTCCTCCTCTCCCAGGAGCTGCATCCTCCCGGGCAACACCACAGAGCTCCTCAGTCCTGCCTCCCCCGAGAGCTGGGGGAAGCTGGCTGTGGAGGCAGGAAGGACATTCTCTGCTGGACCCTGCCAGCCAGTAGGCAAAACTCCAGCCCTCACCAGCTGCCCCAGGAGCCAGTGCACTCCTTGGATGTGCAGCAGAGCCTGTGGGATCTCTGCTGGGACAGGGAAATGGGAAGCTGCACCTACCTGTGGCCTGCAATGGGCTGTGCCTGTGTCCCTGCCAGCTGCTGTCTCACAGGGACTCCCGTGCCATTTGAGAAGAGAATCATTGCAAAGGCAGATAAACAGCCTCAGGCAAACACAGCCCTTTGCAGCTCTTCTCTCACTCCCTCCAAAAGCAACATGACATTTCCAGTGCCCTTATCTCTGCCTGGTGGTACAGACCCACCTGCGGGATGAGAGCTGAAGGCACAGCAGGCACAGCCCCCACTCCAGGCCCTTCCCTCTGCCAGGAGCCAGCACCAAACTCCTCTGCAGGAGGGAGGAGAGCACTGGGGCCTTCACAGAATCACAGAATCACTGAGGTTGGGAAAGAGTTTTGGGATCATCAGGTCCAACCACTGACCCAGCCCTGCTCCCTCAGATGCTGGGAGAGGAGTCGGGGGGGGGACAAGGAAGGGAGGGAG